AGGGCCAGTTTATTTTAGATAAGCACGGAGAGTTTAATATCACGTGAATAAAATAAATAATTAAACCGATCACGATTTCTCGGATGTCACAACCTCTAATTAATAAATCACAATTTTAAATCCACCTTTGTTGATTAGAAGGACAGCTGCAAGGAGCATCTCGTTAATGCACAACGTCCATGATTGAATTAAGTGTTAGAATATTTCATAGTTGTTCAATTAATTCAAATTATTAAGTCCCAAAATCATTAGTACTTTGTGATTTTGTGTAAAAAAATAATAGGTGGACCCTACATCACTAATATCGGTAGTGTTATGAATATTATAATTTGTGGATGTTCATAACTCTAAAGCCTCTCAAGATTCCATCTCATGGTTAATGCCATTTGCCCTATATCTCTTAAATTTGTGGTTTCCTAATATTTATTGATATAACCTCCAATGGTTATATGTTGTACCATAATGTAGAATAATTCTTTTATTTATGAAATTGTAACTCTTATATAGGGTTGGGAGCTCATAAATAGAGGCTACGTATCATAAATTTGGGTTACCCAAGTGAATGAATATTACTTGTTATTTTTGTTCAATTCTCTCTTGTGTTCTTCATTTCTTTCATCCCAATCTCTTATATTCTTCTTATTTTCATAACACATTATCAGCAAGACACTCTACCAAATTAGTTCATGGTATAAATTCAAAGAGTTTCTTATTGTTGCTTGTTGATTTTTGTTCTAGGCCTAGAGATGATTGTCTAAATGAAGTGGTAAAATTTGCAAATTTATTTAGAGAAATGATGTCTTGCAATTTCAAAGAAGGTATGATTTTTACTTAAGCATGGCTATAATTGATATCATATTGAGATTGAGATACAATGAATTTACCTTATTTTGTTCTAATTTTGTGTCATTATTATATTTTATCATTTAAAAATTCAAGTTTTATTCTTATATATGTTTGTGATAATCAATTTGATATATATATTGATATTTTAAATTTATTTTATTGAATGGCTGGTACCCATGCATAATACTCTTGTGATTAGAAGAAACCACATCACTTTTGATAATGGTCTTTTTAAAAATATCACCTTGTGGATCTAACAAATATTAAGAAAAAATTGTTGCTGTAAATATTATAGCCCTGAAGACCAATGATTCAAACATTTGGATGGCACCAAAAAAAAAAAAAGCTCTATAGTCTTGAAGACCAATAACTTATAAATAATCATGACACTGAAAAATATAGTCCTAAAGACTAATTATTAGCATATTTATTTTGTTATAATGACATCACATATGGTCAATGCCCAAATTGAGAATTAAAAGGCAACAATGTTTCGCCATGTATATTTAAATAATGATATTTTTCCAAGGTTATTAAAATCATAAGCAATGGTTACAATATAGTTAGAAGCCATTCTAACAAATGGGTATTAAGTTATTGAAAATAAATGTCAAAGTTGTTATGGAGTCAAAAAGGATTATGAATATTAAATAACATATCAAGAGTGGTATGAAATAAAATAGCCCAAAAAGTAATTATTATATTATGATATTAATATATTGTGTCAATTTATTTCAAATTTAAAAATATAAAAATTATTTTTTTTTTGTATGAATCGTAAACATTTATCATGATACATTTGAAAACTTGATAAATAACTCTTACCTGCCTCGGTCGAGTAAAACTCTTATACTTTGCTTCTTAGGTGTGATGTGACCTTTCTAGTCTTTGCTTTCTAGCTACTGTTATGGGAGATTATGGAAGCTTTGACATTCTGTGCATTGTCCTTAATAATGTGTGTCAAAGAACTTTGGCATTCCTATTTTGTTTTTTTTTAAAGAAAATTTATCATGATAGTACAGTGTATTGCAATTAAATTGTTAGCATGTGATACTTGAGAAAAAAAATCATATATTTGTATCACATTGAATAGGAAGAATGAGAAATTAGTTTTAATTCCATGAGAAAATTTATTATGAGTAGTTGATAGTGATAGTTGATGTTAATGTACAAATCATTTTTATAATATTTTGAAGCTATATGTGTATTGCAATTAAATTCTAGAGTGTAATAATTATTCTATATTATAAGATTTATGATATGTTAGATCTTATTTGTTTTTACATTTTGCTAAACTTATTTGTTTTTACATTCAAAAATTATTTTTTGCCACAGTTAAAACACATTTTTGATGACAGAAGATACTGTGTGGTAGAGATCTTGTGGTAGTAAATAGACATTTTTTGCCACAGGTCAAATAGAATTGTGACGAAAAATGCTATTTTTTGCTATAGGTCCTAATACAATGGCAAAAAATATTATCTTTCACCACAAGTCCCAGCACACCTGTGACAAAAAATTCTATCTTTTGCCACAGGTGCTGGTTTACTTGTGGTGAAAAATATGTCGACCAGTGGATATCTTTTGCCACAGGCCCCCCTAACTCACCTATGATGAAAATAGTATCTTTAGCCATAAGTCTAAGCTCACCTATAGCAAAAGATGCATTCAGAGATGCATTTACAGTGATAGTTGTGGCTACAACTATTGCCATGGATGTATCTTTTATCACAATTATTGTTATAACTGTGTCGTAAATATTACATTTTTTCATAAAATCACCTATAACTATATACACCTTGACTTACAAAATCTGTATTAATATATAAATCGAACCTCCATATGTTGTCTGAATTCAAACAAATTAAAATTATTAAAATAAATTATTTAGAATTTTTAAAAAAAATTGCAAAAATTTCAAATTTTTTTATTAAGATATATTTTAAGTTATTTCATATTTTAATTGTGTCTAAGTTTAGACATATTTAATATGTTTGAATTTTGACATAATTATTTAACATTTTTAAATTTATTAGTAAATTAATGTTTTTATTTAATAAGCTATTTATGTTGACAGGCCAGTGGCGCCTGTCACCATAAATATCTTAGCAAAAGATTTAACTAAACCAAAAATAAATAATAAATTTAAAATTTTAAAATCTATTAAAATGAAATTTATTGATTAATAATTTATTTTAAATTATCAGTATATTTTATTAATAAAAATTCATTTAATATGTATTATTTAAGACACAATTAATATGTCTGAAATATTTCCCAATTAATTGAAAATAATGAAGAATATAATTAATAATTTAATTTAACTTAATTAATTTTTTAAATTTTATTTAATTTTTCTTATGGTTCATTTAAGGCAATAGCTTTGTGGAGGACTATCACCATAAATGCTACATTTTTCATGTTATTTTGAATGGTGACTTGTTCACCATATGAATACAGTTAGTTCTACTAATGAAAATGACTTTATTTTGCACCTGTCACTATTGAAATTATTCTCTTTTAAAATGGAATGGAGTATTGCTATTTTTTGAATGGTGACTTATTCACCACATGAATACACTTGGTTAGGGGCAATTGCATATTTTCACATTCACAATTAATTATAGTTAGGACCTAGGCCTGCAGTGTGTTAAATCAGAAATTTAATAGTCTTCAATTTTGAATATGTTTCTTCAGGGGTCCTTGGTTGTGATGTTCCCCTTGAATATGTCCCAAAAAAAAAAAAAAAATATCTCCCCTCACCACTGCAGGAAGATTATTTTAATTCAGTTGTGAAGGACATTTCACAATGCCTTTGGGAGCGGCTTAGAAGGAAGGATGATGGTAAGTGTGATCTCACTTTGTTATGAAAATTATTTTTTTTTAATTTCATTGCATTCATCTTTTGTAATTGAATCATGTAACCAATTAATAAGCACTGAGAAAGGGGAGTCCAAAAGTGCCATAATTTTATTATGTTGTGGCCAAGTGCAAGGAATTATCTAAGTTTTCTGGACATTACTTATTGATAGTTAATTTAAAACTATATGGTGAAACCGTACGCATAATGCAAACAACTACGATATTAAAAATGTCACGTGAACGTTGAAGAATAATAATAATACACAGTTTTCCACACACAAAAATGTCTAGAATTTGTCGCATGCAAATTAAAACTATATGAGAGGTCATTATTTATTTTGTTATGCCCGATGTTGGAAACCACCCCTAACGATAACATGTTAAAGGAGAAACGTGTCATCAAATCTCATCTAACAAATAAAATAAACAAGTTATTTAATATATTATTCAATTTTCAATACATTTCTTACAATTATACGAACGAAGACCCATATTCTCTGTACACTTGTTGATGCAAACCCACTTTTTCATTTCGTTATTTTCTTCTTCACTCCGTTTATGTTTTCTATTTTAGAGACAAAGAGAGAAATATCATTAAGAAAAATCAGATGTTAGGTTTACATGAAAGGATTAATAAATTCCTTTTTTTTTGTCCAAAGTATCCCCACAGTCGATAATTGTGAGACTAAGTCTGAAAAATCTGACTGCTATTTAAGGTGTGGTCCTCTCCCATGTAATATTTTTCCATGCACAGACCTAGACTGCTACCATCTATGCAACATTCACTTGGTGGATTAATAAATTCTGCAATTTATAATGAAAGGTCGTTCAAAGCAACTAAATTGCAATAAATTATTTTAGTCAATTACTAAAATACTCATTGTAAACACTATTGAAATGAAAAAATAAATCAAGGACAGTTTGGTAATTAACTATAAAAACTTAGCTAGAACTCAGTCCTTTCATTCATGATAGTTTTGAATTCGTTGATTTTAATCCTTTCATGTTGATAGAAATCTTGGTTTTTGAGGTCCTTTGTTTGATATTCTCCATTCCCAAAAGTTAGATATCATGTAAAATACTAAAATATAAACTAAAAGTCTAAAATTAAGAAAAGGGGTGGAGAGAAAGAAAGAGAGAGCAGCTTGAAGCGTAATTTGATTTAATCACCACAAACTGCGAGGAATTATTTAAGCTTCCTGCACATTGCTTATTCATAGTCTATTACACTTCAAATAATAGAGGCTCTTATTTGGCTATCAGATGATTCAGCTTTGACAAACACGACAAACAAAGGGTTATCATCAGTGTGATAACCAAAAGCCTCTTTCCATCATCGTCCCTGGAAATCCCAAGATCTCCACAAGAATCACCATTAGTGGGACAAAACACAATCTTATAAGCCCAACTATTATACTGTTGAATCTTGAACCAACCCTTCAGAGTGTTCTCGTACCTAATAATTTTCACAGGCTTGTTCCCGTCTTCTTTCTTCAACAACAGCCCACTTCCACAACCTAGGTACTTTGCCCAAAGTAGAGAAGTCCAAACTAGTGTTGGCTGGGATGAATTTAATTCTTAATGGGGACGTAATTCTCCAAGGCAAGCCATTGTCGGTTTCAAAGGGCGATTGAACAACACTCAGAGGGTAAGTTTCGTTTCCGGTCTTGGCTAGCTTCAGGCCACCACCTAAAGCCCAGATATGTGGAAGGATATAGTATGTGCCACCATTGATAAGGTAATTGCCCTCAATGTCAAGGACGAACTGGGCTGTTGCAAAAGATGATATGAAGGCAAAGAGAACCGAGAGGGAAAACAAGGAAGGCTTCATTATTATTGCTTTGAACTTTGGGATGTGTTGGTGAGTGGTATCGAGATGATGAAGGGTTCTATTTATAGAGCAGCAGGGGAGTGTGTGTGTGGATATATATATATATATATTGCATATTCATCCATTTGTCAGTAGACAATAAAATTGAAGAGGCACAACCACGTGAACTTCTGAGAGTTCCTCATTCTAATTTTTCTTTTGAATAAATAAACAATTGAACCGATCTCAATTCGCGGGGATCTCGGTTGGCGGAGGACAACGTATCAATAGTACACGACTTCAAAAGATCCACCTTCACTAATTAATAATGAAAAAGACAACAGGTGGCACTATCTTAAGAATGCACAATATTCAATTAAGGACGTGCCTAAAAGTGATTTTTAAAACTTAGAAAATGACGAACAGAGACCATGGAATGAAAATTCTTACATGTATTTTTAAAGCACTTTTAAGAAAATTACAAAATGTATTGGATTTATAAATTTCTTGGGCTATATCAGGGACACTTTACAGCTCAAAATTTCTTTTGTAGGTTTAGTTCCTATTTACCAATAAAACCTTCATATCACCGAGACCAACCTTATTGTTTATAAGACATTTGAGATATTTTTATGCAGATTAAGAAAAGTTATTATTCGCCCATTAAAAAATGTAAGATATTTTTTTTGAAATATTAAATGTTAAAATATATAAGATATTTTTAATATTTCAAGAAATAATTTATATTTTTTATAAATGACCTTAATAAATAAATTATTTAATATTTATTTTTAAGTTAAACATCCTATTAAATATGTAATGATGGCTTTAGTTTGAAAATAATAAACTAATTAAAAAGGCCTTACATTTTTTAATGGATGGAGTATGTTTTCTTTATTTTTTAAAAAAATTATTTCAAATTTTCAATTATTTCCTTATTAATTAAAGAGATATAAATATTATTATAAAAAATGAAGCCAAAAACATGATAGGGAGGTTTTCTTGTTTTCTTAAGACTATCTTGCTTTTCCAAGTTTCAAGAATGCTATTAAAACTAAAGGTTAAAATAGAAACATTGTTCATATATTTGTAGGTAGAACTCATCCCATTAAATAAGGTTTTTTAATGATAGTTTTTTTAATACTTACTCTTCTCATATATTCTCTCTCTTCAATATTTTTCATTAATGGAGTATTAAATGAATAGCATTTTTTAAAGTTTATATTTTTGTTTTGAAAAGGTAAGATTGTAAAATATATTTAATGAGCTTTATTGATATATGTGAGATTTTATTTAAAATTATCTTATAATTTAAGATGGAGGGAGCACTTTATAATTGAAACAATTTTTATTTTCATAAATCATTTTATAAAAAGTACCAGAGGGAGGCAATTTATTCAGATATGCACATAGTTTAATATCACGTGAATAAAATAAATAATTAAACCGATCACAATCTCTCGGATGTCACAACCTCTAATTAATAAAAGCACAATTTTAGTACATCCCACCTTTGTTGATTAGAAGGACAGCTGGAAGGAGCATCTCATTAATGCACGACGTCCATGAATGAATTAAGTATTGGAATATTTTATAGTTGTTGATAAGCAATTAATTCAAGTTATTAAGTCCAAAACATCATTAATAATCCCAACCAATTTCAAAATAACAATAAAGTCCCATGTGTTTTTTTCCCTGAGAAATCTAACTTAAAAATGAATTAACTAAAAAAACCCTTGAGTTAAATATATCATTGAAATTGAAAAATATGTTATAAATTTATCAATTTAAAGTTACAAAATTGAAAGTCAAACTTGCAAATCTCAAAAGTTGTTAAAATATGACAATCACTTTTCAACTTTGAACATTAACAATTGTCTTTTCTCTTAAGATTTGAAAAAAACAAGTATCAAATTCATCTATTTGATGTTGCAAAATTAGGATCTAAACTTATAAATTTCTAGAGCTAATAAAATAATAACTTTGTTACATTTCAACTTTAAACATTAACATTTGTATTTCCTTTTAAAATTTGAAAAACAAGCAAATTCATCAATTTGAAGTTGAAAAATTGGGGGGGGGGACTTGCAAATTGTCCTCAATTTCATGTAATTTTCATTAAGTTTGGGGAAAAATTTTTATAATTACACTTAAAAACCCAAAAGTTTCATAAATTACATTTTAACCTAGATTAAGCTTTGCATTTCTGGAATAGTGCCCTCTTGCACATTTCTAACTCTAGGTACTTTTTCATAATCTCAATATCTTTTTTCATACATAATTACCCTTAAGTATTAATACTTTACATTTGGTCCTAGATAACCAATTACTCTTACTCATTTTTCTTCCATTTCCTTTCTTTGCCTAATTACAGTTAAGCTGTCTAAGAAAAAGTCAATAATACCTTTCATATAATAGTTAGCCAAACTTAAGAGGTCTATGTATTCTAAACTCATACTAGGCAATCATTTTCTTACAGAACTATCATATAGTGGCTTAATAACTTTCTACCAAGTGTGCAACCATAAGATCTAACTATAATCTCATTGAGCCTTTTTAGGATCTACTACGATCCTTCTCGAGTTGACTTTAGGCGTAAGAATAAAGTTGTTGACTAACTTGTTTTCTATTTAATCTAGTTTATTAATTTTACGGATTATTTTCCAAGAGTGATCTTAGATACTTATGTTATCGCTTTGTTTGCTCTTTTTAGCCTATCATGAGCTCTTTTGAACTTTAACTTAGACACTTCCTTTAAGTAGGCTTTGAAAATATTACACTTTTGTCCTAGAAAAGCTTTAAAATTACATTCAGTCATAAGAACCACCTTGGCATTCCAGGGTGTCTCTAGGACTCCGAATCTTGATTATTTGGGCTTGATAGCTTACTAAATTTAGGCATATTCTTGAGTTATATCCAAGAATTTGGGATGTTATACTGTGCATGCATGTTTGTGCACATCTCAAGAAACGTTTGGTTGGAGTAGAGGTGTAGTTGCACGTGGGAAGACCAAATATTCAAAAATCCAAAAGAGGATAATATCAGCAGCAGCATCTCTATCATTTGTCTAATCATTTTTAAATAATGACCTTTCAATCGCATTTGGATTTTAATGTAAAAAACGAAAACGTCTACGGAAAATGAATGAAAGAGATAAATCAAAACTTGGGAGAGGCAAAGCCATGTGCTTCTGTCCTCTGCATTTTCCACGACAAGTCGACTATACCCCCAACTCTTGCAACAAATTGGGCTTGTCTAGCTATCCACCTAGCACCTACACTCTGGAAAAGAGACTATGTTTTAAAAGCTAGACCAGATCATAAATCAAAAAGGCCAGCGGTTCACACTTTTTGTGGTCTAACTAGTTAAACCAGCCTTTTGGTGACATTAATAAATAAAAAGAATATTATATGCATATATAACAATACAAATATGACATTGTCAAAATTGTGCAGAAAAGAATTAACACCTACCATACCATGTGAATTATTAAAAATATATATTGATTGAAGATTTATAATTTTAGATTCAGGTTCAACTCGCCCAACGTTGTCGTTTAATTTTGCGATTTGGATTCATTATTTAAAAAAAAAAAAACATTAGACTAGTCCAGTCCACTAGCTCAACTTGGTCTAACAATGGTTCTCAGTTTTCCACCTCTCTGAATGGTTTTTTTTTTTTTTTTTTGTGTGTGTGTGTGGGGGGCGGGGGGGGGGGGCGCAGAACAGAAGAGCTGTTATGCCATCAGGCCGAATGTCCAGCCAGTCAAAACCATTTGGTTCAATCCGTTTTTTAAAACGCTAGAGGGAGGACTTGTAAATATATCTTGCCATTGATATGATGTTGATGTTAATACTATTGAAAACTATCTAATTACCTGAAAGAAGTTTTAAATAATATGAAATGTCACAAGCAAATCATGCTAACTAATCAAGACTCAAGAGATGTTAATTCTTGGAAGGAAACTAATTCATAATACGAAATGGATTCAATGCATATACAATTTAAGGATTTTTCTTCTCGACAAATGAAAAGATGCATCCATATAATAACTTCATACGGTTTTAGTATGTAAGCAATAGTAAAAGATTGATCGATTAAGCATCAGATGGATATATATATATATATATATATGTATGTATGTGCATAACGATATAGAATTTACGTCTTCTAAATTCATAAATGAATAAGAAATCATTATATGCGTATATTTAATATAAGATGGCTATTATAACGGGTGTGGATGTTGTGAAACTGAGAATGAAACTAAGAACAATTTAACTTCGCCAACGTACGGTGGGATCAAAGTTTTAGGGAATTAGGTTTTGTCTTAATAAGTACTCAAGACGCATATATGATAAAAAGGTGCAAAAAAATAATTTGTATAAATTCATGCATATGAATGATGACACATTGAGGCCAAGGAAAACAAATGTTACAGATTGCGCTAAGTTTTTGGCAGCATATATTACTCAACTTGTTATTAGATCACGCAAACAATTTTTCTTTTTTGCCCCCCAAGAGGTTAAACTCTGTGTGTGTGTGTGTGTGTGTGTGTGTGTGTGTGTGCAATGACGAACTATAATTAACCTCTTACGGGAAATGTCTAGTATTCAAACCATTCACTAATGAAACATGTCATAAACTATCACTTCTGATTTTAATTTGATAATTTTCATTTTTTTTAACTTCACAATTTTACACTACATACGAGTAATGAAAGTAGAGTATTTTTAGTCAAATTATTCTTTATAATTGGGATTCGGACTTAATGAGTGTCCTTAATCCTCTCATCCGTTAAGTATCCCCCATGGTATCATAGAAATCGTTGATTTAATCGAACGGCTGTTGGTGATGTAGGCACGAGATATAAAGAGAACACTAAATCATATTTCTACTTTTTTTGTCGTATACCTTAATCTTGTCTACATGACTGCGGAGAAACAGTTGAAATGCACCCTCATATAACTTCCCTTTAACTCAATTTGATTTATTTATGATGAAGTACAAATTTTCAGGTACTGATGAGATCATACGGTTACAGTGCGGACAGTCAACGAATGAGAGGATTTGGGATACTCGTCGAATTCATATCCTTAAAATTATTGCATGTGCCTGATAGATAGATAGAAAGAGAGAAAGCATAAGTTTGTTTAGTCTTTAAGTGCATGGAATTATCTAAGCTTCCTGCACTAGACACACAAGCTTTCTTACACGCAGTCCATTACACGACTTAGATAATTAATATATAGGTTCTCTTCATGCAGCCGCAGCTCCAACCTTCCTGAACACAAAAAGAAAAGGTTTACCATGAGTGAGAGTCCAAAGCCTGTTCCCAGTATCGTCCTCGGAAATCCCAACATGCAGACAAGAATTAGCTTTATCCGCACAGAAATGAAGCTTATACATCAGAGTACTGATGCCAGAATTCACAATCTTAAACGAACCACTCACGGTGTTGGAGTTCTCAGAGGTAGTCACCGTATATGTATCATCCGTACCATTTCCTGAAGAGTAGATTTTCCAGTTTGTTGGTGACGTAGAACAACCTGGTATTGTACCATCGAAATAGAAGCTCACATTTAAAGAAGATGGGATAACTCCAATGTTATATGGAGTTGCAACTGTCACTGCATATCCTTCGTCGGAACTCGACGAGGATTGCCCAAGGGTGTAATCGCAAATTTGGCTGTAACTTGGGAAGGTATTGATGCCTCCACCATATCCATAAGAATTTGGTAGGAGGTAGTATTGACCACCATTGCGTACGTCGTCTCCGTCTGAGTCTTGGACAATCTGGGCTGGGGCTGAAGAGGTGAATGCAAAGAGAACGAAGAGGGAAAACATGGTGGTCTTCATTGTTGCTCTGAGAGGGAAATTAAAGGGTTTTTGATTTCTGAGATGTGGTGGTGTGGAAACGAGAGGATTAGGGTTTCTATTTATAGAAATTATACCCCACATCCATGAGAAGTGGAGATAGTGAAGAGAAACTAGGGTCTTCTTTTAAAGCTCCACAATTAACAATAGGTCTTTGTTGCCCCCACTGGTTTCTATTATAAAGAATTTCTAATTACCTTATCAGAATTAAAGAGAGATAGTTAAGTTATTAATTTTGTTTTAAAAATAAAATAAACTTTCCATTTTACTGCTATTTAAATGAAATTTTTTTCAAAATTTACATTACATTATCCTTCTTAGTTAATGGGTTTAAATAGAAGTAATATTAAAAAATATAATTAATACCCCATCAAATGCCTTATATTAAGAATTAAAAAAAATTAGAAGTTGCCCTATATAGAAACTAGAAAAAATATGTATTAGTAGTTGTTGGGACTTAGAAGAGTAGCTTTTCACCACTGCTACACGTTAATTCATGGGCAGAGCCAAAATTTGTAATTAAGGAGGTTGATAATACCAAGTATATATAATAATTGAAGAAAAATTATATATATAATTAACATAATATAAATATTTTAACATATTTATTATATTCAATTTTAGGTAATGTTTGGATTGATAGATCTGGATTTCAAATCTCACATTTTAAATCCATACATGTAAAATTCTTTGTTCATGTTGTTTAAATAATAATTTTTATTACTATTAGGTATTGTTTCGAGAGTGCATACAGAAATTTAAAATAATAAGAATTTAGAAAGAATTTTAAATTATACAGAAATTAAGATAAAATTTGGATTTGGATATCCATAAATTTTTAAGTGCCCAAATAGAGAATTTTGGCCAAATCCAAATCAAAATTCATATATATCCAAACATATTAAAGTTTCGTTTGTGCCATCAATTATCATGTCCATGGAGTATGATTACCCAACCTTCAGATTTGGAGCTGGTAGATTTAGGATGAAAAGTTTGGTCGTAGTAGATTTGCACGTGATCAGACCAAACAAACATTCAATAAAGACATGAGAGGATAAATGTCTTCTGAAAAATTGAACAAGGTTTTCCAGGCATGGATGCTTTTTATTATTTGCAATAAATGATTAATAATAATAACAATAATATTTTTCTCACCCTTTGATAAAATTTATTTCTTTTTAGTTTGTAAGTATAATTTATGCCATTTGTAAAATTACAGTAACAAATCAAAAATAACTTTTTTGTGCAACTAATTATTTTTTTTGTTGCATATATATATATATCTCGAAGAATGAATGTAGAAAATTTTACTAGAAAAAATATAGAAGAATTGTATTCAATTAAGAAACATAGAATATGATTTAAAAGCCTAATAATATTTATCAAGAATATTATATTAGTTTATTTTTTTTCTAATTGTTTTCATTATAATGTGTCATGATCCAAAACTAACACGAAGGTCAAACCAACAACTTAATTAACCATAGCAAGATTGAAATGGAGAAAAGATGACAAAACCTAAAAATAGGGGGATTTTTTTTTAAATTGGTATATCCGTTTTTTAGATACTTAAAATACAGTAACTGATCCTCTCTATTTTACTTTAATAATGGATGCCTCATTTCTAATTTGAAAACTTATATAATCTCCTGAAATTAAAAGTTCCATAACAGGGGCAACAATGGAACGTAATGTATGCATGTATGTATGTTGGGAAAAACTAATATGCTTAGCCTTATATTAGTTGTATTCAATTAAATCAAGATATGAGTATTTTTTATCCTATAATATATTCAATTATGATCTACATGTCATGAATTGATTGAATATAAGTATATTAAGTATATAAAGCTAAGTACATAAGTCTTACCCATATATATATATATATATTGTCGTGATACGTTTAACTGAATTAAACAAGTGCAGTAATCTTTTGTGCCTGTCTTTTGCCTTATTTTTTGGCAATCATGAAACTTTAAATTTAATTAAGTTGCTAGGATTACAAGTATGAACTCAATTATATGCAATCTAAATTTAGTATAAGTTGTACGATAACGATTGTAAGTTATTTTCTCAAGCCATAGAAATAGAACTTTATTGGGTAATACAACGGAAGTTGTACTATTTGAAGTTGAAAGGTGAATATCTACTTATCTAGCATATATGTGAGAGAATTTTAAACCACAACTGCACAAGAATAAATTCTTCAACGATGAGAAAGAGAAATAAGAAGTGGAATCTTAATTTAAGTTACTATTGTGCACAATACTATATTCCACAACAGTTAAATTTATATTTTCACTACACCATATATGAGGTTTTGATAAATGACCTGTCACTGTAATAGGAGAAATATAGTGTCAGGAAATAGAAGGAAATGATGCCATGATAGGGAAATTACCGCGTCAGTTCCCACGCGCAACTAACTTTCTTTGGGACCATTTTCAAATAATGTTCAACCCGCAAACCCTTTTTTTTAATATTTTTTAAAAAAAATTTAAAAAAAAAAGGTGAAACACCCAATTGACTCCTAAATTATTAGTCCAAGAACGTTGAAGAACATAAACTCATTTTTTATGTAATATTTCTCTTTTAAGTTTTGAAAACAATACAATTTGACTCTATTACAGTTAACAAAAATTACTGTAACTGTTAGTTGACCAAACAATAATAAAAAATGATGTTGAAAATTATAGAATAAAGGTCAATAAATTTTTTTATTTTCTATAATTTTGAATCATTAATTTTTGGATCCTTTATTGTAAATTTTTAATCCTTTTATGTAATTTTTATGTTTTTAAATTAAATTACAAATTTTTATAAATTAAATTTAAAGTATTTTCATATTTTTTAAATTATATAATTAAATTAACCTCAAAAATTGCAACTCTAAGCAAGTACTCTATTTTACACAATTATTTTATCAATATACAAATGATAAATTAACCAAAAAGATCAGAAAGCAAACATAAAATTATGTTTCCAATGTAAAATGAATAAGGTTATGCTTAAAATAAATGAGCCTGCCATTAAATTTCCAACCAACCTGTCACTTTTTCGGAGGTTGAAAAATGTTAAGTCTATAATTAAAATTGTCTTAAAATACTTTGATTTCCATCTTTTATCCCTAATAAATATAACAAATTTGAATAAAAATGTTACATACTCTCTATCTCCTCAACAGAAATTGATAGAAAAAAATAATATTTCAAAATAGAGTAATTAATCCTATACAAATTCTGATAAAATAATTTGGGAAAAAATAATTCTTTGATTCTTGGAGTAGTTTTACCGAGTTTATAGCTACCATAACTCAGTCATTATACTTTTATTTTATCCATTATCTCCATCTATTTCTAGTTTTCTGAAAATAACTAAATCCCTTGTAATTCATCATATGTCAATTCTCCGAAGTCACCCATGCAGAATAATCATGTTAATTAAGAGCCTGTTGATTTTTGTCTTTTTTTTTTTTAAGAAGAGACTTGAGTTTGAGATGATAAACATGTATGCTTGGTTCATGAAATATCAATAATACATTGTTCACACTGGGACACCAAGTCTTGTGATTTCTAAATGCTTCATAATTGTGGATGTAAGGAAAGGAACGATATCCTCTATTCCTTCTTTCGTCCCCAAACCCCCGGGGGGGGGGGAATTAGATTCTGTTCTTTATCATACATTGACTGCTGTTCATCTATCTTCAGATGTTGCCTCTATCCCAATTTGATGTGGTAATGATGGTGTTTTACCAAAGATTGATGCCGTTGCTAATCCATTTAGTGATGACAATTTATGCTGATGATTCACTGTTTCTATTGTAGGAGATAACAAAAAAATATATAAGGACTAAGTTGAATGAGTTAGACTACAAAAATTGAGTTACAAACTCTTGAAACTACAATGATTGCATAATTAACTTTTCCAAAATAGTTTTAAATTATAAAATTGTTCTAAAAGATGATTGTGAGCACAATCATTTTTTTTTGGGTGAAATGTTGGTAGTATCTAAAATAGTTTAAATTATAAAATTTATATAAAAAATTATTGGATGTGGAAGGTTGGTAGTGTGTGTGTGTGTGTATATATATATGGTGAGCACAAGGAGTAGGCTTTGTCACACTGCTGCAAAATAACTCTATGGGAAGTGGGAACACTTATTTTTTTGCCTACGGGAGCACTTTCGAAGCTCTCTCATATATATAAGAGCACTTATAACAAAAGCACTCTCATAAGCCTTCAAAATTTGAAATTTCTTTTAGAAATAAATCAGTTATATATGAGAAGTGCTTCCATTAAATATCCTACAGGAGCACTTATACAAGAAGTGTTCCTGTACAAGGGTGTAGATGAAGCATATTAGGAGAACTTTTTGATAAAGTGCTCCCGAATGCTAAGGAAGCACTCTAGTATAATATTTTTTTATTTTTTTAAATTTTAAATTTTTTTTTCATTTTCTCCTGCAGCTGATTCACAAATGACTAATTCAAAATAACATCAAAAACTAATCCAGTAACAATATAATTCAACATCAGAAGTTGTATTCAACCAAAGAGCTTAAAATTAAAACAAAGTTATAGCAGTTTTTTAATTTGTCTCATCTACTCTAACAAACCTACTCTAACATTAAAGGTTACTTATCACATACAACTAATTATATATTCTAACCACTTCTTAATTACATCTTTTATTTCATTGATGATAAAATGCAAAGACCTTGCTCCCGCAAAATATTAGAAGAGAAAGCAACACATCATTAATTATATATGTTATATGTAATACATGAGTTTAATTTTGAAACACTTACATTTGGAGGAATTATCAACACTTTCATATAATTAAGCATTATGGTATGGTTAGTTCATTTTTTTTATTTTCTTTTCAGGAAACCTACAGAAGTGCTTTCTTATGAAGCGCTCTGCAAGGTTTTGTCATTTTCTCAATCACCTACAAGAGTGCTTTTTAGATAAGCACTCCTATATGGTAACATTTCGGAGCTCTTATTTGGAAAGTGCTTTGACATGTTTTCGGATTTGTTTTTCAAAGTTGTTTTTGCTTAAGCGCTCTAAAGCTG